AACCACCATTTCGGCTCGACTCACGGTGGATTCCACCAGGGATTGTCAGCAACTTAAATCATTATCACACCACACTTCGGAATTTCTTTTGATTTCTCCCCGCCCCCGTCCCACCCCGTCCCCCACCTGCGCGTACTCTGCCCGCTGCTGCAGCCCGCTGCCGTTGGCCGCCGCCGCCAGCTGCACCGCGGCGAATGCTGCCTGCTCGCCCGGCCCCGGGGTGCAGGTGGACCCGGACACCAGCAGGCTGCCGTTGCGGAAGACGATGTCGGAGGAGGCGGCGGGGCGGGGGGACAGGGCTGCGTGTGTGGGTTTCGGGGGGGAGGGAGGGCGGCAGGGGGTGGGGAAGCAGGAGTGGGTGGAGAAGCAGTGAGTGTTAGGAGGGAGTGGTGCTGAGGGCTTAGGGGGGGGTTAGGAGGTGGTAAGGATGGCGCGGGCGCCCAATGCTGTGTTCGAAGCAAAAGTTTCGCCCATAGGGGGCGCCAGGCAGGAGACGGGGACGCATTGCGGGTTGGCTCTTTTTCCAGACTGCCCTCTGAAACGCGCATTCGCTGCCGCTTCGGCCCAGCGCATCATACCCGTAACAGATTACAAGCCCTGACATGACGGCCCATGCGTGCGCCGTCGCATTCCGCATTCGGCGGGCAGACCAACTAACCACCACCATCTGTCGCCTCCCACCTGCCGAACCGTGGCGTGCATTTTCATACCCCTCATGCGAGAGCTGCCCCAGCCAGCCAACCACACGCACCTGCCAGCACTAGCAGCAGCAGCAGCGGCAGCGACGTCAGCAGGGCGCGAGCGGCCGCCGCCGCGGCAGCGCCGGACGCTAAGGAGCGGCGCATTGGGTGATCTTGGGGGTCGCGAACGCTTCCAATCCTGCCTGCTACTTGCCGGTGAAGGTGTTCGACTGCTACCTGTGATAAATGAGAAAGTTAGGGTGCAAGCCGTTGGATGCAGCGCGCTTGCAGGAATGCGCAAGCATGGGCTGGTTGGAGAACTATCTGTTTGGCCGCGATTTGAGTGAGCAGGACGGAATGTGAGTAGGCTGGGGCGGAATCTGGTTGCAGCGGTTGCGATTACGGAATGCGAAGAGGGCAGAACCTGCTGCGGCTGACCCGTGGGACGGCGGTTTACTAAGGGTCGGACCAGTGAGTCAAGGTGCGCAATGCTTGCAAGCCGCTGTGGGCTGAGTCGACAACCGACCGGCCGACGGAGCAAGCGGGGGTAAAGCGATGCCGGTAGCTAGGCAAGGGACCACAACTAATGGGACATTAAAGTCTGGAATAGCAATGCGCAATGGATGCGGCAAAGCGCAAGCGCTGCGTTTGCAATCGCTGTTGACCGGCGCTGCTTGCTGGCTTGCCTTCGATCGAACGTCCGATTCGCTAGGGTAGGATAAAGGATGCTCTGTCTTAAGTACTGGGCACACGTTTTGAAACAATGCTCTCACCCGCTGAGGTCCTGATGTGGTGATAAGCTACGGATTGTAGCAAGCGTGCAGCTGCTTGCAAGCGCCGTGCTAGCTGCTGCCAGATGCGGTGACCATGCAATGTGCGAAGTCAGGAGGATTCAAGGTGGCAACCGGCGGCAGACACGTATACGCACTTCGGACTCCCAGGTATTGCGAGTACACGTCCGAGGTGGCGGACGTAAGCCCTCGGAACCGCACTGCCCGGACACCGCCGGCTGCCCTCCGCATTGCGTGCCATAGCACCGCAATTACGACCCATGGGTTGATGCCGGCAATAAAGTGTTTTCACATCGTTTAGGTTTGCTGGGGCACGCGACGACATGCGCGGGAATGCAACCATGTGCAAGTGATCCACGGCGATTCGTCACCAACGCGCGCGGTGAAGGCCTCATCTCGCCCGTGCACCTGCACCCCTCCTTCACACAGTTTCACCGCGGCTCAGTTACAACACCCCTCCAGCACCCAACTACCTATCTGGGTTAGCGCTTACACGTGTCGTCGCTCGCTGCTCGCAGAGCTGCCGCCGTATAGTCGCTGTAGGGGCTGCATCTCAACCCGCGCAAAATGTCCTACTCGCGGCCAGTTTTCTTAACACACCGCAACAAACACACCCAGGCATTAAATAGCGCCTCCGTCTCCGCGTGGAGGGGGCTCCACGTCTGAACCTGCGGCGGGCCGTGCTGACAGGGACCTCCGCCTTGGCGGCGGGGCTGCTAGCCCGTGCTGCTGCTGCCGCTCCTGCGGCTCCTGCTGCGGCTGCCCTCCTGGGCGCTGCTACTGCGGTGGCGGCAGGTAGCGAGGGGCACAGTGCGGGGGCGCGCCGCACTACAGGACCGGGGCCGGGAGGGTGCTGCAGGGCCCGGTACGACTGCCGCTGCGGCTGTTGCTGCTGCGGCGGCGGTGCTGCATTAGCTGCGCCAGCGGTTGCGGCGGTGGCGGTTGGGGCGTGGGTGTCGGCAGCGCCAGCGGTTGCAGCGGCGGTGGGAGGTGCTGTAACCGGAGACCTCTTGCAATCGCTTGTCGCTGGGGTCCTGTGGGGCAGAGAGACAGGAACAGGAACGCTGACGGAAAAACCAAAATCGAGGGCAAACCTTGGCTTCACTGTGACAGTGATAAGCGGCAATGAGGGGCTTCCATAGGGTATTTTCGATGGCGTTCAGAGTCAGTCGTCGGGACAAAGTCATGCCCGATCGCTCCTGCCAAGCAGATCTGCCTCTTAACAGGTAGCGGAGCTGCAAACCCAGCGCTTACGATCCACAAACGAGGCAGGTCGCTTCCGTCACCAACGGGCGACGGTTTGACCAAAGGAAAGTATCTGCGATAAACAGGTAACGGCGAATACCTAACGTGCAGTCTACCTGTAGCTAAGTTAATACTACTTCTGCACGTACGGTTGTTCGTGCAGAATGTATGTATGTATGTGTTACAAGCTTCGTACCGAGCTCGTAAGATCCGTCCGAGCCAGAAGGCTCATGGATCGCGAGCACAAAACGCGAAAACAACCAAAAGAAGAAAAGTAAAACAAAAGAGACAACAAACAGAACGCTAATCATATGATAAACCCTGTCTGCGCAATCCTGCGACTTCGCATGCTAGTGATTACGCTAGCAAGCAATGCCTGATTCTCCATGCCCATGACAGCAATCATATCAGCATCCCGTGAGACACCACTTTCCCATATCTTATCACGCAAATCATCGTAAGCGGGACATTCAATGAGGATGTGTTTCTCATCTTCCACTCTCCCCGGCGACCCCTGCACGGCACACATAGGACAGACACGCGCTACTCGTTGCCTACCCCTAGGGCGATTGGCTTCAATGCCCCACACACACAGCCGAAAACGCATCAGGTTCACATGCTGCCGCTGAGTAATGTACCCCCTGTCAACCGGGTCACCCATCCAATTTTTGTACCTGCACATCTTAACTCCAACTCCTGGTACGGGGTCTACTGGGTTGAAAAGCCGCGGGTCATCTTCCAAACTCCTATCCTCCCAATCCGCATCCATTCTATCAGCAAACTTTTTAGTGAGAGCAGACACATTTAGCTCCGTGCCAGCAATACGTTCCACACGCGCATTCAAGTCCAACTCACCCCCCAAGGCCGTCAAATCCGTCCCTAACATTTTCAGAATCTTCAACACCTTAGAACCCCAGCCATCATAATGCTCAGTACTGAGAGCCGAACGAATTTCACCTCGCAACGCCTGGTGGTAGACCGTGTCCTTCTGCTTGACCAGGTCATTCCAAAACCTCAGAAACAGTTCCAGCCAGAAGACATGCAAGGGGCGCTGGTTAAACTCCTTAAACAGCAACTTATCAGGCGAGACTTTCACACCCGCAATCTCCCGAAGAAATTCCCTTTGTAACTGCACCATTGGGTCCCGCAAGGATCTGTCAAAGTACCTCGCGGAATTCTCGCAGTCCGTCATTAGCTTCAGTACCACATCAGGCCCCCACACCTGGACACCGTACGACAAGATGGAGCGGACTTGCACGTCGAAGCACTTAACTGCAACAGCAGGGACCAAAAGACCTAGGCGTTTTAATTTACGCTGAAGAGAAAACATAGCACGTCGGCCAGAGGTCAACAGTTCCTCTGTGCAGGAAACAAACGGTGTGCCAGGACCAAAGTGCAAACCAAGGTAACGGGCTCGTTGTACCCAGGGAATAACCATAGGTACTCGCGCATTTCCCTCAATAGAAGTCCACACCACGGGGCAAAGGGCAGCAAAAGCCTCGCGGATATTGGCACGAGGGTGGAAAACCATCAATTCACATTTACGGACATTCACCCGCATCCCAAAGGCCTCACACCACTCTCTCAAATCAGCAAGCAACACAATCAGCCGTCTGTGCGTCGTAGCGAAAAGGCTGAGGTCGTCGGCATACAGTTCCAACGGGATACGCCGGCCATCCGCATGGGGAGTCTGCTGCTTAGCGCGCATAGCATCAGGGAGCCACTTATCCTTAGCGTCAACATAGTCAGCAAACCCCTCGCCAAAAATCCCGTAAAGCGTAGGGCTGAGAGGGCATCCTTGCTTGACTCCCTGCGAAGATTCAAAAGGATCCCCCGTCACTCCGTCTACCCTGACACGCATCATGACCTTGTTGTAACAAGTCTTGAGAGCCTCCAGCATAGCGCCATGCACACCCCGTTCCTCCAACCTTAACCACAAGAGATCACGTGGCACCTTGTCAAACGCTTTCTCAAAGTCAATCTGACAAACGAACAGGGGGTCAACTGCATCTCGCCCCCCCTTATGTTTGTCCGTCAGATGTCGCAACAAAAACAGGTTGTGGCAGGTACCCCGCTTGCGTCGGAAACCTCCCTGATACGGCGACCTAGCTCCCACCAGCTCGCCCCAACGAGACAGCCTGTGCTCCAACATAAACGCATAAAGCTTAGACAAAACACCACATCGTGCAGAACAAAAGAGAACATTTGTGTTGGTTACCGTACACGCTTACGTGGTCCTGTGGATCAGCAATAAAGCACGATCAGCGCTGTGGCTGGAAAATTGCGTAAACGTTAACACCGGTGAGCCGCACCCGGTGTTCAGTTAGGGGTTACCGCTTAGCGGGCCCTTGTTCCTTTAAGTAACATTAATATTCGCCGACTGACCGTCCTTTCAGTGTTCAGCTTCAAAATGGATCTTCGTTTTGCTATTGGGCTTACGATTTGCCTATTGGCTGGGCAATCGCTCGCCTCGCCGCGTTTGGGCGTGGAGCGGCAAGGGCGGGTCGATGCGCCAGCCCCACCAAGATGGCCCGACGCCTACGAGGTAATCCATGCGATCTAGACACATACATAGTCACAGTCGTTAAATTTCTACAATCACCGGCACTTCGCTGGCTAGGGCTTTTGCCTTCTAACGACGACTTCCTTCTGCGAGCTCCCACTATACATCCTTCTGCCTTGCAGATGGAGTACACCTTGACGCTTCCGTATGTGGAAACGTTTCAAACTGGCGGCCTAAAGTAAGTATGCACTATTAAGGGTTTGGGCTGGCAATTCGGACAACTCCTTCCAGCTTCGCAGCCCGGACCAGCCCGGGCGCTTGCACAACGTTATAATCCCTCTGCAGCTTAGCGCGTGGACAGTATTGATCATTGCCCCTCATTGTTGCGCTCTATCTACCACAAACTTACTCACGTGTAGGTACCCTGTCCATGTGTGGTGGGATGGCCCCAACCAGCGCTACCGCCTAGACGTGTACGGTGGCATGGACAGCAGCGGCTACGATAACACCAAGGTAAGTCCGCAAACGGACGACAAAGGTTCTCAAAAGACTTGATGTTTCTGCGTCACCGTCTGCCGTCCCTGCCCGTTCCTCTTCCCGTTCACGTCCTGGTTTCTGCCTTCTGCCTTCATTCATCCATCCCAACTTCCCCCCCAACAGGGTATCTCCTGGAACCTCTACCCGCGCATCTCGGAGGTCGTGTGCGACTTCAGCAACGGCACCGCCGGACCCACCATCACATCCGCCATCACCGGCGGCGGCAGCAGTGGCGGGGTGCCCCGGCGCGCTCGGCTGCAGGAGGGTGGATCCAGCACGGTGAGGGGGGGAGGCGGGGGAGGGAGGGGAGGGGCTAGAGGATGGAAAGGGCAGAAAAGGAGGCAGGGGCATATACCGACTAAGCTTATCGCCTTGTTCCCCCTCCATTGCCTCCTCCAACCAGCTCTTCCCCCCATGCATCTCCCCCCCCCAGCCTCTGCCCGACATCAGCGGCTGGTCGTACGCGGGTACGGCGGCACTGGGCAACGCACAGGCGCTGGTGTGGCAGGTGGGGAGCTGAGCGGGAGGGGGGGAGGAGTCGAGCGGGAGGGGGAGGGGAGTCGTACTGGGTAGGCAGCAACACAGCGGAGGGCTAGCAGGGCCTGATCAGTAGCAGGAGAGCTGCCTGGTTGAAATGTTGACAGGAGTTGACAGTAATTGCGCTGACTGCAAGCTGCCTCCCCCCTCCCTCCCTCCCCCCTCCCCCAGCTGTCCAGCCGCACGGGCGAGAAGACCGCCACCTACACCCTCTACACGGCGCCCAACGGCTGGCCGCTGAGGTTCGACATGATGGGACTCAACGTGCTCACAGGTGGGATGGGGGTTGGGTGGCGTAGGAAGATAGGTCTCCCGTAGTTAGCTGAAGGGCCTTAGTCCTGCCTCCCCGCCTGTCTCCACTTCCCATCTTCTCCATCTCCCGCTTCTCCATCCCCCACTCCCGTCTCTCTCTCATCCTCCCCCCTCTCCTCCCCCTCTTCGGGATAGTCGGGATATGGGATTGGGACTCGTTGTTTCACATATTTAATTTCCCCCCCCCCTTCCCTCCACCACCTCACCAGGCTCCCACTTCGATGAGTACATCATTGAGTTCACGCGCTTCAAGCCCGGCACCCCGCCTGACGCCGCCTTCGCCCTGCCGGCGGCATGCGAGGAGGAGGGGCAGCAGCAGCAGCGGGGGGGCAGCTCACAGGGGCAGGGGCAGGGCGGGCAGGTGGGCGGCAGTCTGGCTGCACAGCTGGCCACGTTGCTGCCCTCGGTGCGGCTGGGGGCAGGTGAGCGGGGGAGGGGAGGGGAGGAGGGAGGGGAGGGGAGGCTGGGGACACACATGCGGCTGGGTGCTGCTCGCGCTGCGCACCAGCAATTCTGCGCTCCTGCAACCGACCTGTCCACCCTGACTCTTTACACAACCCCCGACCCCCCACGCGCCCCACCCCACCCCCTTTCCCCCGCAGTCTCCGCTTCCGCCTCCTCCTCCGGCCCGCTCTCCCTGCTTCGCGCCCAGTCCCTCTCCGCCCTGGCCGCGAACACCCGCCTGGTGGCGCAACACAACCAGCAGCAGCAGCAGCAGCAGCAGCTGAAGCAGACCGCCCTTTCTACCTCCTCTGCCTCCACCCCCACCCCTCCCACCCCCACCTACTCGCTGTCGCTCAACCACTTCGCGCACCTCTCCCACGAGCAGTGGGCCGCCACCATGCTGGGACTCAACAGGAAAACCAAGACCACCCAACAACAGACCCAGCAGGGCGCCAACACCGCCTCCGCCTCCACCTCCTCCTCCTCCACCTCCTCCTCCCCCCGCAAGCGCGCCTACTACCGCCGCGTGCTGTCCGACTCGCAGCTGCCCCCCGCGGTGGACTGGCGGGGTAGCGGGGCGGACGGGCCGGGGGTGAAGGACCAGGTGTCGTGCGGCAGCTGCTGGGTGAGGGAGGGGAGGGGAGGGGGGAGGAGAGGGATAGGGGGGGAGATAGAGAGGGTTGCGCAGTTGTGGTGGTGGGCTTGATGGACGCAGCAGCAGCAGCAGCTAGATAGGTTCGCGTCCTGCCCTGCTCTGCCTCCCCGTGCCACTACCGTGCTGCTAGGCATGCTCTCGTGCAGCGCCCGCATGCGCGGCCCCGCCCCTCGCGTCGCTCCTTCGCTGCACTCAACCCGCCGCACCCAACCTTACCCGCTCCCCCCCACCCCGCAGGCCTTCAGTGCAGTGGGCGCCATGCAGGGGGCCTGGTTCCAGGCAACTGGTGGGTGGTGGGGGTGAAAGGGAGAGCGCAGCTCGCAGGGGTGCGTGCGGAGATGGGGGCGCCCTCACCCCTTGCGCCGTCCCCATTTCTCCTAACCCCCCACATCCTTTCCGCCCCTCCCTCCCCCCCTTCCCCCCTCCCCCCCAGGCCAGTCGCTGTCCTTCAGCGAGCAGCAGCTGGTGGACTGCTCCTGGGAGTACGACAACAACGGCTGTGCGGGAGGTGAGGGGGAGGGTGGGGGGGAGGGAGGCGCCACGCGGGTGACGGGGGTTGCTAAGGAGCTGGTGTGTGTTTAACAAAACTAGCCGAGATGGGAACGGTCACATCTGGGGATGCTGTGTTTCTCCACCTTCAACCTCCCCCTCCCCCCGCCCCCCCCATGCAACCCATGGAGCAGCCCTGTCTTTGAGTTCGTCAGTTTTCTCTATTCCCCCCCCCCCGCGCCCCCGCCCCCAGGCAACGTGGAGCCCGCCCTGCAGTACGTGGCGGATGCGGGCGGCATCGCGCAGGAGGCGGACTACCCCTACCTGGGGCAGAACGCGTTCTGCAGGTGGGGGGGGGGTTTAGGGGGATGCTAGGGGGAGGAGTAGAGGGAGGGGAGAGGGAGGCGGCAGTCCCCCTACCTGCATGGCAGCAAAACACACCGCTGCACTCCGCCACATACACTCCAACCCCACCATTGTAACCTCTTTTCTCATTCCTTCCCCCCGCAGGGCCCCTGCGCCTTCTCCCTCCAACACCTCCTCCTCCCTCTCCTCCTCCCGCTCCTCCCCTCCCGCCCCCCTGTCCGGCCGCTTCTCCGGCTTCCTCAACGTGCCCCCCCGCGACGAGGGCGCGCTGATGGAGGCGCTGGCGCTGCACGGCCCGGTGGCGGTGGTGATGCACGCCGCGCTGCCGCCCTTCAAGTTCTACAGCGAGGGGGTGTACTACAATGACAAGTGCAAGACGGTGAGGGGGGTTGAGGGGGAGGGGAGCTATGTGGGAACACGGCAAAGATGCGCGCCACTCCTGCGCACCGCTGCCTCCCATCAACCTCCCCCGGCACTTGCTGGGCATGCAACGCAATAGGCCCATTACCTTTCCTCTCCCTCCCCCCCTCCCTTAACCTCCGCTCACTTTGGAATTTCTCCCCCCCTCTCTGCCCCCCCCCCCCCCAGGACCCCGACCACATGGACCACGCCATCCTGCTGGTGGGGTACGGCAGCACTGCGGAGGGGGTGGACTACTGGCTCATCAAGAACAGGTGGGGAGGGGACCGGGGGGAGGGTCATGAGGGCAGCGCGAACACAACTTGGGGGACAGCTGCGTGTTTGCAGCCCCGCCATGCGGCTTGCGGGTGTTGCTGCGGAGTGGTGGAATGAGGGGGTGCTGCTGCCTGGGGTGCCTGGGGTGCTGTTGTCGGCCGTACTGACATTTCGGGACACCCGCCTCCCTCCCCCTCCCTCCCCCTCCCCCTCCCTCCCCCGCCAACAGCTGGTCCAAGTACTGGGGCATGGACGGGTGAGACAGGGGCCGTGGGGGTTGCGGGGGGAGTGCGGGGTGAGGGGTGGCAGGGGGGTGGAGGCGGCAGGATGCATGGGAGTAGTAGAGGGTCCCCCCCCTGCTACTTCCTCTTACTCTCCGTCTGTTCTCCTTACCTTGTCCGCCCCCTCCACCCTCTTTCCATCTCTGCTTATCCCCTCCACAACCTCCCATTCCCTCCACCCCTCCTCCTCCCTCCCTCTCCCCCCCCTTAATGTATCCCTATTAATCCTCCTCCCTCCCCCCCTCCCTCTCCCCCCCAGCTACGCGCGCATCGCCCGCAAGGGTAACGACTGCGGCATCACCACCGACCCCGTGCTGGCGCTGGTGGAGCCGGGGGTGGGGGAGCAGGGGGTGGGGGTGGAGCAGCAGCTGGAGCAGGTGGAGCATCAGTAAAGGAGGGGTTGCAAGGATGTCGGGAAGTGTACTAGTATTTGACGGTCGTACAGTAATAGCAGCAGCAGTAGCAGCGGGATGTTCCATTCCCGAGCAGGGGTGGGGTGGAGCGGTGGGAGGGCAGGGTGCGGGTGAGGGCAGGGTGCGGATGGGAGGGGATGGCCTCTTGTTGGCGGGCAGGGCGGGGCAGGGCAGACGAGAAAGAGAAGGACATATCCAATTGTGTGTCAGCCAGTTGACGCCGCCGCAGCTGTAAGCAGCAGGGCGGTTGGGGCGCTGTCAGGGCAGCAGCAGCTGTGATGGCGACTGAAGTGTTGGCGACTGTATATACCGGTATACCCGACTGTACTGTACGCGATGTGTTGTACTTTAGCGCACCTCCACCGCCGCAGCCGCCGCAGCTGTCATGATGATGTGTGCACGCTGCGCCGCTCTGTTGTACCTTCGCAGCTGTGTTGTGTGTACAGTACGGTGTGTACGCCACCCATGTGGTGCCACCCATGTCGGTGTGGGGCCACGCTGCCACCCATGTCGCGTGTTGGGGGCGCAACAACCTGTCGTGTGCGTGAGGCTGGGCTGGGCTGATGGGCAGGGCAGGGCAGGGCAGGGGGGTGCATGTTAAGGAAAGTGGCCGCGAGGGGGTTGTTTGTGCACATGAGCACCTGTCCGATACCTCCAGCGGCAATGGAGGAGGTAACGGTGGAGGAGGAAGAGAGGGAGGCCGTTGACAGCAGAATGCCGTTGGGCTCCGGACGCTCTTCTGACTCGGGTGTTGGATCAGAGGCGGCAAGTGAGCCCTATGAAGCCTGAGCAGGTACTGTAGTGTACGAGTTGTGTAGAGGCGTGGCTGTGGCAGGTGTTCGGCCAGGCATGTCGTGGAAGGTGGGATGTTGTTCGTTCGTCCTGGATGGGGGCAGAGCTTTGTGGTGTGTAATTTGGAAGGTCTGCCGCGAATGGTAGTACTAGTAGGACATGGGTAGGGATCGGGAAGCACGGACGGTAAGGTCATATGCTTCGGACACGCATGCCTATTTTGGTCGCCAGGCGTGGCTACATCATCGCGCGCATAAAAGCTATGGGCTCCTTGTTGGGGCAAGAGCGCAGCTGTGTGCCTTCTTGCTACAATAATGAGCCACGCTTGTAAGCAATTCCGCAGAAACAAACGCAGAAAAATTCGAATGTCGGAGCTAATCAGCTCTGCAACACGCATCTCGATTGTCAAAGCTATCATGTGATTTTAATAAGCAGACTGTAACAGGTTCCTGAGGTGCGATATCCCTTGATCTTCGCGAATGGAATACGAAACGGTTTAGTTGCTTTGCACCCAAGCACTGCAGCAAGCCCCAGGTAATCGTAAAGCGATGACACCAGATACAAAATGGTATGCTTTTCTTGTGGTTTGAAACATATATCATCTTGTTAGAAGTTGTCCGCGCACGGGCAACTTCTACTCGCTTACGCAGTATGCTTGCCGCTAGAAACAGCAGCCGGTGTGGACCGCCGGTAATGGCATCAGTATGATACGGTAAATGATAAGTACTTATAAATTTGCTGGCACGAATTCGCCATCCTGGCGTGTTTCCCTAATACCGTTATGCATGTCGTAGATACTACGTCGTGAGCTCCTTTTCATCAGGTGTCTCTTGTATTATAGTGAATCATTTTTATTGCCTAACTCTTCAAGACACTGCGTTTCTCAATTACTATTGCACTATTAACAGCCATCACATCCGTGTCTCACGCTATGGCTTCAATTAGGCTCTGAAGCCATCCACCACTAGTTTGCTTGTTAGCCGCCACGTGTAATGCAGAGGCTTTATACTGTTCCCTCCGCCCAACACCCATGGCTGTATTTGATGCCCCAACCGACTCTCCTGTGGCTGAGCTCATTGCCTGTCCAGATGAGGATGTGGTCAGACTGCTCAAGTTTCAGAGAGTCGTCGGTAAAGGAGGGTAAATTAAGTCCTTCATGTTGCACATGCCCGTGCAATGGGCATGCAAGCATACGCAAAGTGAACGTCGCTCGACGCTACTGTGAAACAGGTTTGCTGTTGTTTGGAAAGCAAATTTTGATGGGCAACCTTGTGCTTGCAAAGTGCTGAAGCCGCGCCGCGGCGTGCCTCCGCCTGCTGTAATTGTCCGACTCTTCGTGCGCGAATGCGCTTCGCTGATGGCGATGAACCACAGGTACGCTACTCTGAGATTACCTTTAGATGCGACACGGCAACAGCAGTACGGAAGCCTTAGGCGTTAGGGTTCTTACGTGCCCTCTGCCCCTTCCCATGCACCGCTCCCTTTCATGGAATCCTCCGTCCAAGCCCGTCCATAACACCCCTGCATACCCTCGTTCCTCCCTACCCCGCGGCCTGCACCCCTTCACCCCCTCCCATGCCCTGCTCCCCCTCAGCGCCGTGGTCCGCTGTGCCGGCCTGGTTCGGCTGCGCGCAGCTGCCGTACCCCACCTGGACCTCTCGTACGACACGTACGGCATGCTGCTGGAGTACTGTGAGGTACGACAGTACGAGCATCATGACAAGATGATAACACGACCATAACATTTGCGCTGTTGGCTGTTGGCGGCACAACATACACAGCCTGCTTACGCCACTGCGTCATTGGTGAAGGCTTGGGTACTCGATTTATGTGGGTTGCGCACCAAATCGCATACACCGGTAACCTCGGCGGCGTTCGCTTGCATCCCCCTCTTCTGCCGTCCTTCGGTGCTGCGATGCTACGAAGAACCGCGCCTCATCTCCAAAGCTGTTACAATCCCTCTCAACTCCTCCAGCGCCGGGCTATCAGCTCTAATTCAGCCTGCCCTTTCATCCCTGCCCGCTTCCTCTCCTTCTTCCCCTTTCGCCCCCCTTGCAGGGTGGCACGCTGAAGGACCAGCTGATGGCCCAGACGGTGACTCGCAAGGACCAGTACAGCGTGAGGGAGGCACTGGGCTGGCTGGCGCAGGTGGGGGGTGGGGGGAGGAGGGGAGAGGGAGAGGGAGAATGAAGAAGTTAACGAGAGGGAGGGAGGGAGGATGGAGGGGCGGAGGGCTCATCCCGTAAACCTTGAACCAAGGGTGCCTTATGGGGCCTAGGTGGTCCTGGTCCTGGTGCTGGTGCTGGTGCTGCCCAGCACTCAGCGCTAGCTTTGGTACCTCTCGCCCTCGCTCTGCCTCCCTGCTCCCTCCCTAGTGCTAGCACCGCCTCTCTAGTGCCGACACCCGACACCTGCTATTCCTGCTGCCTTGACAGCCGTACCCCATGCAGCCTCTGCCCCTCCTCCCCTCCTCCACCCCGGGTGCCCCCCCCCGCGCAGGTCGCCTCGGCGGTGCACAGCTTCCACAGCCTGGACTCGCCCATCATACACCGCGACATAAAGGTGGGAGAGGGGGAAGTATTGGAGCGGCTGGATTGTGGGGGTTAGTAAAACCCCAAACCACAAGTGAGCCCCCCTCCCATCCTCGTGGTCAGTAAGTTGTTTCCTTATTATCCCCTCCTAGCTAGGGCAAGACGTTGGGGGTAGGAGGCGGCAGGGGGGCTCGCATGTCAGCACCGCCTCTCTCCCTGCCTCTCCGCTACGCCACCCCTCTCTCCCGCCCTTCCTCCCTCCCTCCCTGCAGCCCGAGAACGTGTTGCTGGCTCGCTGCCCGCCCCCCCGCGGCTCCCAACCGGGGCACCGCACCACCGGCGGTGGCTTCCGCACCAGCGGCAGCGGCCGGGGCGGTGGCGGTGGCGGCGGCGGCAACGTCCCCGCTCGGCGGTTCGACGCCCGGCTAGCTGATTTGGGCCTGGTGGTGCGGCCGGGGGAGGAGCGGGGAGTGCTGATACGCAGGAGGACGACGCCGCAGACGCCGCTGTTGCTGGCAGCAGGCGACGGGGGCGGCGGGGAAGCTAGCGGGGTTGACGGAGGGAGGGGGATATCGACGTCTGCTTCAGCCACGGGAGTGGATGGCGTTGTGCAGGTGATGGTGGGATCCATAACGGGGGTCTGCGGAGGGGATGGTAAAGGAGGTGACGCTAGCGGCGGTGGCAGCGGAGATGGCAGCAGTCGTCTGCCGTACTTGGGGTTCAGGTCGAGTCCGCTGCGACTGGGGCTGCGGCGGCATGTGCGCGGGAGCAGCGCTGGCGGCGGCGGCGGCGCAACGACAGGGGACAAAGGCAGTGCGGCTGAGGAGACCTCGGCAATGGCCGCGGTCATGGCTGCAGCGGCAACTGCGGCTGCCTCACCGCCTAGTCCCGCAGCCCCTGATTCCTCCGCCGCTGCCGCCGCCTCCCCTGCCTCCCTGCCGCTGGCATCCGCATCCGCAACCGCCTCCACCCGCCCCTCCCTGCACCGTCTGACGCTGCTGAACAGCCTGAGAGCGCGACTCTCTAGCGACCTGCCAGGTAAGGCTAGCGGCGGCGGCGGCGGTGGCAGCGCAGGAGGAGGAGAGGCCACTGCTGCTGCTGCTGCCGCCGGCGTGCTCAGCACCCAGCACAGCCCCTCCCCTAGCGGCGCCCTCCCAGCAGTGCTGCCAGCCAGCAGCAACCGCAGCGAAGGCGGCGGCGGCGAGGTGCTGCATGTCTCCAGCAACCACCTCCGCAACCACGACCTGGCGCCGGCACCGGGCCACGACGCCGTCGCCTGCAGCGCCAGCGCCGTCGCCCTAGACATCGCTGCCGGGCCGCCGCCGCCGCCGCCACCGCTGGCGCTGAGCGCGCCCTGCGAGTCGCTCCGCGGCCCCAGCCCCTTCCGGGATTTCTTCCTCAGCCGCCGGGAACAAGGAGAAGGAGAAGAGGGGGAAGGGGTCGCAGCAGCGGCGGAGAAGCGGGAGTGGAAAGGCGGTGAGGGGCTGCCGAAGGTTGAAATTGAAGGAGCTGAACTTGAAGGAGAAGAACCCCAGAAGACTGCAAGCCAGCAGCCGCCTGCCGTCGTCTCCGCCGTGCTCGCCAGCGGTGGCGACTGGGGCAGCGATGACGGAGTGGAGGTGGTGATGACCCATGGGTCACCCGGCCAGGTCACGACCTGCCCGGTATCCCTCAAGCAGCAGCATCCCCCCGTGAGGTGTCCCGCCTCCGCCACCACCACCACCGGCTGCTCTGCTTGCATCTCTTCCCCCCTCGACTCCTCCTCCTTCTTCCCAGCCTCAGCTGCCGCCGCAGGCCTGCCGCTGCCTCCCTCCCCCTTCATGCTGCCCCTGCCGCCGGACCCCACCCTGACGGGCAGCCTCAGTCTGGGTTTCATGCAGGCGGGCGGGGCGGGTGGGCGGCAGCAGCTGCCGCCCGTCACGGAGAGATCACTGTCGGCGGAGGCGGCGAGTGTGGGGCCAGCGGCAGCGGGCGGCGGCAAGCAGGGCGAGGCGGCGGCTGGAACTGCGTGCAGTGGTGGTGGCAGGGTGATGTGCGGCGCTGGTGGTGTACCGGCGGGAAGAGACGGAGGAGGAGGAGGAGGAGGCGGCGGAGGAGGAGGGGTTGGCGTACGTGGAGGAGGCGGAGGGGTGCAGCTGGAGGCGGCTCGTAGCGCGCTGTTCACCATACAGGCGAGTGGTGGGAGGGGGACTCGGGGTTGAGGGATGGGGTCGATGTGGGGTGGAGGGATGGGGGTGGTTGGGTGGATTAAGAGGCAGAGAGGGGATACCTCACGTCTGGCAAGCTAGTGCTACTTGAGCGCTACCTTGAACAGCCGCGCCGGTACCTCTTTGACCACATACCCGCTGCCCCTCTCCGTTCCCCCCTCCCTCCCTTCATCCCTCCTTTTTCCCCATACCTCCTTACCTCAGGAGCCCGAGGAGTCCCCTCCATCCGCCGCCTGCACGCCCCCCTGCGCCACACGCCCCCCGCCCCAACATAGCCCCTCCCACGACCTCCCATCCGCAACCCGGCCCCCATGGCCCCATACCCGCCAGCCGGCCCCGCACACCGGCCTGTCTGCAATCGCCCTAGCCCACGCTGCCGCCTGCGCCCCTGGCACCTCCCTGTCAGCACCCGTAGCGCTGGCGGAGGAGGGAGAGGACGGGGTGGGTGACGCGGAGGGCCACGAGCGCAGGGCAACACAACAGCTACAGCAGCACCCCCAGCGGCAACGCAACACGCATGGCCAAGAGCCGCATGAGTCCGCTGCGCCGCCCTTCTGCCGCACCTCTGCGCCCGCCTACCCGCCCGCACTCTCCACCGCCGCCAGCCAGCCATTCAGAGCTCCCGCCACCACCGCCACTACCACCACCACCGCCCTCGTCCCCGCAGCCACCGCCTCCATGTCCACCTCCCCCCTGCCCTCGCCGCTCCCCCAGCCCCAACCCAGCGCCCCAGCCTGTCCCCTGCCGCCCCCACTGGACCCCGCCGAACTGTCGTACCCCGGTGACGGGCAGGAGGGGGAGCCTAGCAGCAGGGCGACCCCCGCCCCCGCCCCCGACCCGACTCTGTCCCCCAGCGATACCCTCACCACCGCTACAAGCACACGGCCCTCCAAACCGCAGGTGGGGGGATGGCCTCTCCCACGCCTCCTTGTCTCAGCCGCATAACAGTCGTTTGCTGCCCCACATCCTTTTTTTCGCTTATAGAACCTACATGCATTAACGTATACGATATTGATCAAGCAGTGAAGTTGACTTTGGGTGCTTTACCTCCCTTTTACCGCCCTTCTCCCCTCTCCTTCCCCCAGGACCCGCCTGCCCCCCTGCCCTCCGCTGCCTCGCTGCTTCGCCCCGTCCTGCGGGAGCTCAGCACGGCGGAGAGCGTGTCGAGGGCCATGCGCAAGGTGGGGGGGATACAGATAAGTGCATCAATGGAGTCCCAAACCTTAGAGGCAACAGTCCGGTACTGCCGCTGCATGTACGGTACGACTGACGAGCCGTGCCAACACAGACAACTTCGACCACTCCACCTCATGAACCCTTCCGGCACCGGATTGCCTGATTAAGCAACTTGTGTCCCCATGACAGTTGTCACATGGCCACCCTCCCTCTACCCCTTCCCGCTACCCCCTCCCGGCACCCCCCCGCCCCCCCCCCCCCGGTAACCCCCTCCCGCTAACCCCCCTCCCTCCAGGTTGGTTCGCTGCTCCGCGCCCTGAAGCAGCCCGCGCTGCCCCGCTTCCCCGCGGACAGCCAGTGGCAGTGGGCCTTCGCGCTGACGGGGCAGGCGGGGTCGTGCATGTACATGGTGGGAGGGGAGGAGTGCGGGGGTGTGGGGGGTGGGGGGGAGTGAGGAAAGTGCGACGAGGTGAAGAAAGGAACACACCAGGAGTTTTGGGGGGCAAGTCTGTCCTGGGGCGTGCGGTTCCTTGGCTCCTTTATCGCCCTCCGCTGCGTCCCAAGCTTCTTCGGATGCGCGCCGCGTGTCTAATTGTTCTCATACCCCACCCCTGCACCCAATCGGGGCCGGGGCCGGGCTGTCCTGCACCCGTAACCCTATCCAACCCCACTCCATACCCGTCCCCCCCACGTCCATCTCCCCCTCTCCCCACCGCAAGGCCCCTGAGGTATTCCGAGGGGAGCCGTACAACGAGAAGGTAGATGGTGAGTCGATGCGACCCCATGCGTCTCCCCGCCTCCCGCGTATCCCGCGCCTCCCTGCCTCACTCCGCCCAACCCAGAGGCACCCCCAACTAACGTGCCGGACGCGATGGCTCCCCCCGCACATGTGCCGTACATGCCCCACCCCTACACGCCGTGTCATCACAACCCCACCCCGGCCCTCTGCTCAAACCCCTCCCCTCCCCGCCCCCCTCCCCAGTGTTTTCCTTTGGTGTGATGGCCTACGAGCTGATGTCTCGGGAGCTGCTGCTGGTGCGCTACGGCGCCTCCACCCGTGCGGCGCAGGCGCTAGGGGTGCGGAGCGCGCAGCAGTACGCGGAAAAGGTAGGGTGCGGGGCGGGGAGGGAAAAGAAGAATGCCCTAGATAGAGAAGGCGGGAGGACGGCGAGGGATGAGCTGAGGGTGGTACGGCAGCAAGGGAGCTCTCAGCAAGTGGAAGAGTAGCACGACTGAGCTGTCAAGCCTTCTCAAGGGCAGCTTCCTTTTGTTGTTTACCCTGTTTATCTGTTCGTCTCCCCTTAACCCCCCTGCTCCTACACCCATTGCTTTGCCCTAACCTGTGGTTTCCTATGGTTTGGTATGGTCTTTGACCTTCCCCCCTTGTTCCCACCCCCACCCACCACCCCGCTGCTGCCGCTGCCTCCGCTGCGGTGCGTGTGCAGGTGTGGGGTGGCTTCCGCCCGCCCCGCCACCCGCGCATACCCGAGTCTCTCTGGCGACTAATTGAGGTGGGGCGGAGGGGAGAAAAAATTAAATAAGTGAAACAACGAGGGGAGGGGAGGGGAGGGGTACCGGTGCCATGTAGTTGAAAGGAGGGGAGGCGAGGAGCGGCGAGGGGAGGGGAAGCTCGCTCCTAGGTGCTTGGAAGGAAGAGCAGTGGAGGTGCAGAGGTGGGGAGGTGCAGCGCTGGGGCGGGTATCTAAAGATTTTAAAGCAAGAATTAGGAATAGGCGCTTGACTTCCAAAGCCCCCTTCGTCCGCCACCCACCTTCACCACCCCCCGCTTCCCCCCGCCCTCCCTGCCCCGCCCTCCCCTCAGGCCTGCTGGCACGCCGACCCCGTGGTGCGCCCCGACATGGCCCGTGTGTGCACCGAACTGCAAGCCGCCATCAGCGAGTGGGACTGGCAGCAGCCCGGCAATACACACACGCACACGCACACGCTCACGCATGCACAGCAGGGCCTGCTGCTCCCCTACCAAACCCACGACCACAGTAGTAACACCAAGACCGCCGCCGCCGCCGCCGGCAGCAGCGCACCGGGTGCCCACCGGCTGTGGAGGGGCTTTGAGCGGCCCGGATGCGAGGGGGTCGGGAGCGGGTTGTGGGTTGGGGAGCAGCAGGGGCAGGAGGAGGGGGAGCGGGGGCAGGGGGAGGTGCGGGGGGAGCGGCAGCAGCAGCCTACTGGATGCGGCTGCATCGTGTGCTGAGGGGGACTGAGGGAGGTAGGGAGGTATACGTTTAGGTTGTAGGACTATGCTATTCATGATAGTAGTGGTACTCAGTTGGGACATGGGGATATATACCCTGGTCTTCACATCAGGGTAGGAGGGAGGGCGGTTGGGATGCTCAAAGCAGCGAGGACCAAGTGCGGCATGCAGGTGTATACATAAAGAAATTGCTACGGAAGAGGTGGCAAACTGAAAAATAGTATTGGTAGAAAGGTATGTATGAGGGCATGCTTGTGCATGCCTGAAGGAGATGAAGGAAAAAGAAGAGGAGCTGCAGTGGGCATTTGCAGTGAGAGGAGACTTAGGAGGTGTATGCAGCAGAAGGTTGCATTCATTGGCAAACCCCGAGACGGGTGCAAGTACTTCAGGGCGACGGAGGTGTGTGCTTTTGACGTACGCCGTACTCATCTCAAGGTTCTTCAGGCAATGAGGCTAGAGATTTCACAATTGCAGGTGTACTGTGGGACGCTGAGAAGCACCTCATACCCGGGACACTTGTAGAAGTAGAGTTGTTGGTATTGAAGGTGCTGCTGCTGGGGGTGTGCCGTACCCAGTACGGGAGATATACAGCACTTGAGGAATTGCGTGTTTGCTGCCGGGGACAGAGTGACCAGTTGTCGCGACACCAGGCCCACTGGTGATCATAGCAGAGGTTGACGAGCAGAGGTGAATGCGTCAGATGGTGCAACTTGCTTTAAGGCGACTGGGGAGGCAGCTTGGGTAGCCCTCTTCCTTTGGTTACCGGTAGACAGGCGATGGGGACCAGACACGGCCCTGCACGCCCACAGCGTTATAGGACGTGTTAGTGGGGCTCACATCGCGGGAAACGATGGTCAAAGGGATGCGTCTTCCTTTGTGTGCATGGTGTACAATGTTTGCATGGTGTATAGTGATAGCACGCTGACCAGTGACAGCTCACGGCAGCAGGTGACCCACGGGTCATTGACATGCACGGGTCCATGCCTCGCCAGCATGCAGCCCTCTAGGACCGAAGTGGCGCGTGAAGACGTGGCTGTGACACAGTGATTGGTGTGAGGCCGGCTGCTTTTAAAAACCAATCTTGCAACGGCCTTGGCTGCGCACGTATCTTTCGTGTGAGGGCATGCACTATGTGTGAGGGTGAGTATCCATATTTGGTAACTCTGCCACGAGGAGAGGGTATAGTCCCGCCTGCATTCCTGTCCAGTGTTGTAAATGTGCACGGCACTTGTCAATGTCGTATCACTCTGCCCCATGAAGGAGAAGAGTCATTTTTACGTCTTTTTTTATTACAATACAGGGAACAGCCTTTACTCCCAAACCATGTGCCGCTACCGGTACTAAACAAGAACCACGATACGTCTTCCAACGTCTTTCAAAACCACACCCTTCTTTACAACCACATTGCAGCCTCGCCTTGCCGTACATGCCGCCCCTAAAAATGTACGTCTTCGTAATGTGTATCACCTCCAAAAACGAAGCATCCAGACGCATACGAACTCTAGGGGAATGTGGAAGAATGAGGCCCCCATCTGGCCGCGTAAATCAGTTCGAAAACCACCTCTTGAATAAATCCCACCAGCACAAGACCTCCCTTCTCTCCTTATGCCGTTTGGGATTCGCCGGCGATAACGGTACTACAAGTGTCAGCAAAAGATTATGCGCTATAAACTGCTCAAGACAAAAAACCCAAACGTTCGTGTCGCCGCCCTTTCAAAGCTTATCCACGAAGCGCATGTGTGGCCAGTGGTGCGGCCTGAAACACACTGGCTTCCGCCATCCCGAAGACGACAGTCGATGTAGCTACGACAACCCCAGACAGTGAAGAAAGGACGGCACTTCCAACCTGGCCGCAGCAATACTTCTATTATATCCCCCGAGTCCCAAAAGTCGCTCCCAGAAGACCCAAACAAGTCTCACAAGCCCCCTTGGATAGGCAACACTGAGGTGAGTCTACGCATCAGAGACTGGACAATCCAGCTCTGGTTGCCATTGAAGGGAAACCACATGACAAGGCGAAACGCAACTGCGGCTTGCCAGCGACCTTCAGTAATTGCGCCTATTGTAGTTTTCCAAGCTGCTGTACTTGGAAAACTGGGCAGCTAACAAGCAATGTGCTGTACCAAAGCCCCAAAGCATCAGGCTGAGGGGCATATGGCTTTAAGGCGATCAACCTGACCCGCAGACCCAACAACCCTCTCCAGCTACTATGCACAAACACACTCTTGGCTCTCTCTCTCTCTGCAGCCCCTTGCTTCCCTCTCTTTTCCTGCTGAACTGCGCATTGTATTGCGGTTCCATATCCCTCTTCACGTCTTCAGCCCGCAGCAACCCAACACCACCAACGACGCGACGGCGACAGCCACCGCCAAACAGCAGTTTCAAACCTAACACAGCAAACAGCAGTTTCAACCGACCTTTCTCAGCCTTCAGGTCCGAGCCGGATCCTTTCTTCAATTACGGCTTTTGTTTCATCCTCGTCCTCCTCCTGCTCAGCAGCCGACGTTGTAATAGGAAAGAACAAAGTCGGCGGGGCGTCGACTCATCAAATGGATAGCAGGGCTTTCAACCGCAAACAAATTATAACCATCACGCCCGCATTTTTCATCCGTGTTTCACCCGCGTTGCATCTGCATTTCACCCGCATTCAAAGAGGCTCAAGATGCCCGGAAAGAAAGCATCTACGCGCCCCTTCACAAATTCTCCCTTAAACCCCCCCCCCACACACAAACTTCACATACCAGCAACCAACAAACACAACGACCCAGCAAAACCGACGAACAGCCGACAACATTGTCAGTATACCGCTTCCGCAGCCCAACCATTTCACAATCCCTCTCTCTTAGGACCTTCATGCCCCCTCTCTCTTCGCCTCACTTCTCCAGTAACTCACACCAAACTGGACCAAAGCCATCAATCCAAAGCCCCAGCCCCCTAAAACAGCCCCGTCTGCATCAGCAGCGTGCCGTAGGCCGCCACCGCCGCCGACAGCGCCGCCGCCGCCACCTGCTGGCTCTCCACGCTCCTCACCCCCTGCTGCCCCACCAACGCCAGTAGCTGACCCGTCAGCGCATTCCCCTCCACACCCTCCCGCCGCATCGCCCCCAGCAACTCCAGCGCCCTGTCCGGCTGCCCCGCGCGCTCACACGCCGCAAGCAGCGCATTATACACGTGCACCGAGGGCTGCACCCCAGCTCGCCGCATGCGCGCACGCACCCGCATGGCGCCCTCCCAGTCTCCCGCCAGGCTGTGTGCCGCGATGAGGCCGCAGAAGGCAAAGTCCCGGGGTCGAAGGCCGGCGGAGGTCATGGCGGCGAAGACGGCTTCGGCCCGGTCGGGCAGCCCCGTCATGCCGTACGCGGCAATCATGGTCTCGTGCGTCACGGCGTCGGGCTGTCGTACCTTGGAGTAGAGCTTCTCAGCGATCTGAGCGTGCGAGGAAGAGGGGGCGCGGACAGGCAATGTGTCAGGTGAATGGAAGAAGTCCCAGAAGGTCCAAGTAGTAAGGCAAGTAGTAATGGCTATCGGTATCAGCTGGCGTGATGCAAGGGAGAGCTACCGGTATGTGCATTTAGCAAAAACGTCTTCCTCCTCCCTTTCCCTCTCGCTCCCTCTCCCTTCCCTCCCTCCTCTCACCTCCAGCTGCCCTGCCTTGCCCGCTGCCGAGATGGCAGTGTTGTACATGACGGTGTTGGGCGCAATGCCCAGGTTGAGCGCGCGCAGCAGCACCCCCACCGCCTCCTGCCACTTCCCCGCCCGCTCGTACGCAAGCATCAGCGCGCCGCACACCACCTCGTTCACCACGCCCTGGTGCGCACCGTGAGAGGGGTGCGGGTGCGAGTGCGGGTGCGAGTGATGGCTGTGGTGGTGACCCGGGTGAGAGGAGGCGTGGGCGGCGTGGTGGCTGGCGGTCGAGGGAGGCGGTGGAGGAGGAGGAGGAGGCGGGGGAGGCGGGGGAGGTGGCGGCGGGGCGGCAGCGGAAGGCGTCATGCTGAGGAAGCTGCTGCCGGGGGTGTACACCCCGGGCGCCAGCAGCGGAGCCACCACGGCTGCGTAGTCGGCATCCGCGGCGGAGACGGCGGCAGGCAGGGCGGCCAGGAGCCCCTGCGGCTGCATGCCTGCCAGCTGCCCGCCGGCACCGCCCGCTGCCGCCAGCTGGCTGGAGAGGGCGCTGCCAGACACATGGTCGATGGCGGAGCGCCAGGGGTCCATTGAGGCGGCAGCGGTGGTGGCGGTGGTGGCGGCGGAGTGCGCACTGAAGGAGGAGCGGCCGCTGCTGCTGCTGCTGGTGCCGCCCTCGTGGAGGGTGCCGGCGCTGCTCGCGGAGTGGGGAGCACGGGCGGGCGAGCCCGGAGGGGAGGCGGCGGAGGGGGCAGGTGGGTGGCTGAAGAGGCTGAAGCTGCGGCGGGATACGCTGCTGGCGGCAGCGGAGCAGCATGCGGCGGAGGCGGGTGAAGCGTCGGAGGCGGCGGCGGAGGAGGCGGCAGGGGCAGCGGAGGGCGCGTGCAGGTCGAGTGACAGGCCGTTCAGCTGCGAGGGACTGGTCCACTGGGAGGGGCCGGCGGCGGCGGTGTCGCGGCTCATCATGCCGCCAGCACTAGCGGCAGCGGAGGTGGAGGCGGTGTGTGTTGAAGCCGGGAGGGCGGAGCTCACCGCGGCGGGCGCCAGGTGGGAGAGCTCCAGGGGAGCAGGGCCCAGCGGCGCCGCAGCTGCCGCCGCGGCAGCGGCAGCGGAGAGGCCCTCTAAGCCCTCGCTGTTGACAGTCGCGGCGGAGGAGGTCGTCAGGGTGAGGGACGCAGCCGCCTGCGCAAACAGCGCCGCCAGGGGGTTGGGCGGCGGCGCGCCCGAGGGCACCAGCGCCGCCGCCAGTGCCAGAGCAGCCGCCGCGGGCTGCGACTGCTGCTGCGGCTGGCCGCCGCTGATACCTCCTCCACTCACAACCCCCGCCGCTGAAGTCCCTCCTCCTCCCCCTCCCATGCCTCCCCCCAGCAATTGCTGCTCAATGGAGCTGAACACCGCCTCCGCCAGCTGCCACTGCCCGTGCTCCCCCAGCGACTTGAGCAGCGCGGAGTAGGTGTAGGCGTTGGGCTGCACGCCACCCCACTCGGGCGTCTGCATGCACGCCAACACCTCCACCGCGCGACCCCACCGCTTGGAGTTACCCAGTGCGGCCATGAGGGCGGTGTAGGTGCGCGCGTTGGGCCGCACGCCGTTGCCCAGCATCCAGGCAACCACAGCCTCCGCGCGGTCCGCCTCGCCGCCGGCAGCGAGTGCCGTGATGAGTGCCGTACAGGACACCACGTCGGGCCGGATGCCGCCCGGGCCCGTCATCTCGTCGAAGAGGGCCACGGCGCGGCGCCAGTCGCCGGCGGCGGCGCAGGCGGAGATGGCGGCGGAGTAGGCGTGGCCCGTGGGCTCGCAGCCTACGCAGGCGGAAGGAGTGAGCGGGTTGCGGTGTGGCGGGCAGCAGAGAGTGTCAGCAAAGAGTAAACTGGTGTGCAAGGCAAGAGGTCGAAGCATGGAGGAGACTGCGAATTTGTGATAACCAGGAAACCATCAACCGCATATGCATCCGGAGTCCGACAACTAAGCCGAACCCAACCCGACCTCCCTCCCAAGTCCCCACCAACCTGCTGCCCGCATATCCGCCCAGATGTCCAGCGCCTTGAACCACCTGCCGCCCTCCGTCGCCGCGCGCATGGCCGCAGTGTACGCATGCACCGTGGGCGCCATGCGCGACCCGGGGGTCGCTGCGCGCATGGAGCCGTACATCGCCAGCGCCTGGTCCGTCAGCCCCAGCCGCGTGCAGAGCTCCAGGTAGGTGATGCACAGCCGGCAGTCCAGCTGCAGTCGACCCGAGGTGTGCCGCCGCCAGGCCTCGTTCCAAATGGACAGCGCGCGGTCGGTGAGGCCGCCCGCCAGCGCTGCCCGCATGGCGGCGGTGTAGGTGTAGGCGGTGGCCTCCAAACCTGCGCCGCCGGAGCCCGGGGCGCCCGTCATCCAGTCGTACACGGCGAGGGCGGAGAGCGCGTCACCGTGGTCGGAGCAGACGCGGATGAGCTGCGGGGGAGGAGGGGAGGAGGAGGGGAGAGCGGAGGGTGGTGGTCAGACAGGTAGTCAGGAGATGAGTCATACCAACAATAAGCCAGCCAGCAGTCAGCCGGAGACGCTGTGCCCTACTATTCCTTAGCTCAAGGAACTCGCTCGTCTCCTCCTCCTTCTCCTCCTTCTCTTCCCTCCTCCCCTCCCTCCCCCTCCTGCCGCTCACCGTGGTGCACAGCCGGTCGTCCAGCTGGTGCCCCGCCGCCTTGAGCCACTCGAACAGCAGCAGCGAGCGGCGCCAGGTGGCCTTGTTGGCGCTCAGGCTGAGCACCAGCTTGTCCAGCTTCCAGTTGTCAAGAGGCAGCCCGGAGGCGGGCAGGCCGGAGGGAGGGGGGAGCGCCACCGGGCAGGCGGGGTCGCGCAAGGCCAGCAGCTGGGCGGGGAGGCCTGGGAGGGCGGGGGAAAGAGGGAGGGGGTGAATGTGGGGGGGGAGGCTTCAAAGGCCCGGCATAGGAGGCAGTCAGCTCGCGATACACGTGGCAATGCCGTGGCTGGAGGAATTAAGGAAGTGGAGAACATCAGCATTATCAGATATTATACCCGGTAGCAGGTTGGCAACGTTACGCCGCTTGCAAGCGACAGACGGCACGCCCGTTTCCCCCGCCCTACCTGTGTCCCCCAGGTCAATGCGGCCGACGGTTGGGGCGGACGACGATGCGGCCGCCGCGGAGGAGGAACCCCCCGCAGCAGCAGCGGCACCTGCACCGCTGCCCGCAGCAGCACCCGATGCCGTCATGCCGGACGCCACCAGCGAGCGCTGAGCTCCGTGTGGCCGCCCTCGCTGCTGCTGCTGGGGCGCCTGGGGCTGCTGCTTGGGCTCGGCGGGCTGAGGCGCGCCGGACGCGGTGTGGAGGGCGACTGCGGCGGCCATGGCAGCGGCGTGCTGCATGGATAGCGCGGTGAGGTCGGCGGAGAGGCGCTCCAGCGGGTCCTCAGCCACCTGCTCCAGCGGCTCCGGCAGGGGCTCGGCCTGGGGATGGATAGGAAATTGGTTGTGGCGGTCATGGTGAATGAGAATGACAATTAAGGAAAAAGCCGAGAAATGATATAGTAGGAGTTGGGAGCATGGCCATGCGCGTGGCCTAACGCATGCACGCGGTCAAAAGGTGGCACAATAGAAATTACAAAATGTTGAGTGAAACACACAAGTGAATAGGAATGTCCACTTGAAACAATAGTCGTGAACAATAGTCGTGAACTTCGTATGTAAGAATTGCGCGTTGTTGCCTCAGGCGCCACGCAAGCCACTAAAGAGCTAAGAGCATTTGCAAGCAGGTGAAAATATACAAACCGAGACTCAAGTTAAAAACACCGCTTTTGTGCTCGCACCCACAAACGACAGCCGAACCTTCGGGCAAGGCTCACCTGCTCGTGGCCACGTTGCTCGAGCGAACGCCGCTCATGATTCCGATCAATAGATTTACGGACACGATCAGTTGCCGTCAAAACTGCAACTCCGGGAGCCGCCGAAGTCCTAGTGGTCGCTCGGCCACTGGAGCCGTGTGTCGGAGCAAGTCCGCGGGATACGACGGCTGGGGCATTGTGAGCGTTGTGACTCTGACTCTGACGACCAGGACCAGTCACACGGGCTGGAAGGCTACCAGTACCGCTGCCCGCCGCGGCAAGAGGTGGACGGGCGGTAATAGTTACCATTGTAATGGCGCAGGTAACTCTCCAATTGTTAAAGTCTTAGTATCCTATGAGGTACATGTTATAGTACAGACTATTGGCCTTCAAGTTGCAACACGAGGCTTCCTCACAAAGGCGGCTTCTCCTGGTCTGAGGTAAGCGTATTCACTCAGCTTCCGTGAGGTCAAAAGGCTCAGCGCAGTCAGATCAAGAGCAGCCGTCTATTGAGTTCAGCGGTTTGCGCTGAAGTAAGTAATGCGGTAACCCGTGGATGTAATGAGAGGCTGCAAAAGCTGTACGGCAGTGCTGCACTGGACCGCACGTAGAACAGGTCACGAATAACGCATAGATTAGCATGCTGTTACACGCCATCAGTCTCTGCTATTATGTTTGCAGATGGCGCAGGATGATAAGGAGATCAAAATCTGCGTGTGTTGTTGTAGAACTTCTGCCTCAGTTCCTTAGGTACAGGCTCATCATCAGTAAAGATTTACAGGAGCTGGAATATTTACGCTGCAGATCTAAAGATCTGCAACTGTGTGCAATCTGGCTGTAGTGGGCGCCAATACGCATCGCGTGGGCTCCGAGTGGCTGTGTAGCCCGATACCGAAACCAGCTCAAGGACCGCTTGCTAAGAGTTTTGGAGGCATAATAAGCACGAGCAGCTTCATGCTGCCTGATGCCTTGGCTAAGGGTTGGGGTGATCGCAGTTAGCTGTAGGTAAAAGACATGCCAAAAGTCTCTGCCACTGGTGCCGTGGTCTGGTGCGCCGGAAACGTAATGAGTGAACAGTGCGAGCTCCGTAAGCAGGGCTCCCTGAGACTTCAATCCCGGCATGCATGTGCTGCCAAAAGAGCGACAAGGTAAACAATTGCACCACCGGGCCAGGGGAGTTAAACGTGTATGTGATAACCTTTGTTAGCAGCTCACGTGTGGGGAAGGTAGGCCTGCTGGGGTGCCGTGCGACAGTGCTGATCCCGCTCTAAGGCATCAGGTCGTCCTTTCGCGTCGCCATTCGCGTCGCCATCGTCGCATACGGTCCCACAGATGTTTCTGCGTGGGCTGTCCGTTTCCCTTCTTGGTGGACCGGTGGATGGATTGCATGTGAGACGGATTTACTGTAGTGCCTGGGATTACCCTTGTCCTCATCAGTACAACCACCAATTAGGTAACACTGCACAAGGCCTAACCCGGAATGCACGGTTACTTTCCCCCCACAACCAACACGCACACACGTATTCCCGGTCGACGCCCCTACGGCACTAACCGAACTGGTGCAGTCCGTTGCAACGTAAACTGTGCCAAATCTGGCAGTACTAAAGTGGTAACCAGGCAGCGGGTGAGCCTTACCGGTCATCTCCTTGCCCTTTGAGTCCTCAGGGTACTCTTCCTCGTTTCCACCCGCCTCCTGATGTGCCTCCACTGGCGCGCCGGCACAGTGCATTTCCTCGGAGCCATTTCGCAATGTGCAACGTGCACCCTGTGCGTCTGGAGCACGCATGGGTGCTGGGCAGCGGCAGTGGAAGCCCCCGCCGCCTGCATGCGTGTGACGAGTGCGCCGCCCTGCGCACGGGAAGGGTACTGGGCTCCTGACTGCCGTCCAAACCCGGCGCGGTAATGCAGTGCCATTCCTGGTAGCCACCATCCCCATGCGGCATAGCAGGTGTGAACACGGGGATGTCGAGTCAGGATGGACGTCAATTGCCCACACGAAGTCGACTTGTATCTGGATTGTGTGGGGGTCGAGGGGTGCGCAGCTAGGAAGCATGCCATAGACAACGCTGTTTACAGCCACACGTACTCCCAGCTGCCTGAAGCTGTTGATGGTGGAGGGGACAAATGTGAGGAGGCCATTAGGATACGCTCTAGACCTTGTGGCATGCATGACATACTCCCTAACGGTTTTTGGAGATGTACGTCCTTGGCGCCCTCCCCAACACATACGCCCAGACTTTGCGTAGTTTTGCGTTCTCCCTCAGCTATAGGCCACAGCGTGTTATGGGCCCATCAATGCAGGTGGCCGTTGCAGCTCTTTTGCGTCAGCACAAGCATAAGCACCATTAACGAATGCCGTACGCGATCCTGCTACCCGCTGTATTCAATCAAGGAGATGCACGAGCGCGATGCACGAGCGCTTATGTTAGCCAAACATATGCACGAATTGTCGTAATTTGTAGTAGCTGTTTGCAACCTGTACAAGCGATATAACTGACCGTGAGAATGGTGAGATAACCCTTCCACTGAATTGTGTGTAACCAGGCAGCAGATAGCCATGGCAATTATACCTATCGCAGCGGATTGGGTATAAGCTTGTCAGGTGTCTTGGTTACCGGTAGCGAGTCCTGAATGCTATCCGCCGGGCCAGGACGCCCTAGCCCGGCACTTACTCCGTATGGCGGGACGCTGGTGCCGAATTCGAGCTGTTATTTAGCGTTTAAGGCGACAGCTTCCGTTTCATGGCGACGAGCTGCCAGCCGCCCAATTCTGGAATCTGCTTGCAGCGGGCCTTCATTGCCGTCGCATCGCAGATCCAATCAACGGATACCAACCCTAGCCTACGAAGGCGCTCGCCAGCCTGGGCCTCAGGACGACGAATGCGATCACTCTAGCCATCCTGCCTCGCACCATCCGCATGCCGAGCCATGCGATGGTAGCAGCCGGCCCAACCAAGGCGCTCACGCGGATGCGCCGCCGCAGCAGCGTGACTCGGACATTGTTCCAGTCAATGGAAGCAGCCCAACAGCAGCGGAGGCAGAGTCTGCAGTTTCCCTTCCTCTACCTGACTTGCAGTCCGCCCAAACGAAAACAGATACCGGGCAGCCTTCGCTGCTTCACCCTGGGTTGGAACCTGCAGCCGAAAGCGAGGCGGGGGCTGCTGACGGCCTGAGAGGGGGGCCCACTCCTGCCCTGCCGGCGCCAGATGCAGCTGCCGAACACCAACAACAACAACAACACCAAGCGGAGCACCTCCACCACCACCGCCCACAACAGCACCCGCAGCCCAGCACGGATCCCGCCGGCCATGCGGGGCCTGCAGCGGCAGGGACGGGGGCTGCTGCTGCCCCGGTTCCTCCCGGGTCCGAGGGGAGCGAGGGGAGCGGGGGGCTGCATGCGGCCCCCCAGGCGCCCCCCCTCTCGCCGCTGCCCAGCCTGCCCCCGCTGCGACTGGGCTTCCTGGACCTGGGCAAGCTGCAGCTGCAGGTGGGGGAGCGGGGGGGTGCGGGGGGCTGGGGGGGTGGGAAAATTATATAAAAGTGAAACAACGAATCCCAAACCCATAGCCCGACTCATGCAGTGAGCGCATTCGGAGGCACCATTTGGGGGGGTGGGGGGGTGGGGGCTACCGGTTTTGCAGGGGTAGAGAAAAGAGCTTATATGATGCTGAGAGTGTAGAGGGGAGTGAGTTACAACTTACAAGGAGGGTTGGCAGCCGGGAGGGGCAACAGCGCAAGGGGGGTTGCAGGAAGAGGGATGTGACATTTGTCATGAAGCGTGGGGTACTGGGTGGCAAGCGGGAGGAGGCTGGGTGGTCCGGCTGCATGTCATGTCACCCGGGAGTGCTGCGGGTCACATGCTCCGACGAGGCTGTGCACCAGCAGGCGGATGGGAGTGTGGGTACTAGAGCACCCAACCTCCTCCCATCTTTACCCCTTCCCCTCCCTCTCTGCTGCACCCGCAGCAGGACTCCTCCGGCCTGCCGCCGCCTCCCTCAGCCGCCAAGGAAGCAGCGGAGGGGCCCCGCGCCGGCCGCCCCCGGCCCCCTGCTGCGGCCTCTGGGGCCTCCCCCCCTCCTTCCCCTCCTTCCTCTTCCCGGCGGCAGCCGCCTCGGGGGCAGCAGCGGCGGGGCGGCTCCCTGTCTCCCGAGGAGGAGAGCAGGCTACGTGACCAGCGCATTCGCGTGGTAGGGCGGGTGGGCTGCTGATGTTTGGGAGGAGGGGAGTCTGTTTGAGCTAAGTGACGCTACCGCTAAGGCTACTGCTAAGGCTATTGCTACTACTGCTGCTACTGCCACTATCCAGCGGACGTGTACCGACATCATGGTGTCATCTCTCTCGCTCACATCCTTACCATGCTCACCTTCCCTTGTTCCCGCTGTCCCCCTTCCCCCCGTTCTCCCCCTTCTTCCCGCCCCTCCCCCCCCCCCTCCAGCTGGTGTTGTCCGCACGCACGCTGGCGGAGCTGCAGGCGCTGTGCAGTCGCCACCTGGCCGCCATGTCCGCACCCACCGCCGCGGTGGCACTGGCGCGACTGGTGCAGCGGGCGGCGGCAGCGCAGCGGCTCAGCATCAGGGCAGGCGCAGGGAAGGCAGCGGAGGCAGGAGGGGGAGGCGGAGGGGGAGGCGGAGGGGGAGGAGGAAGAGGAGGGGCAGCCGCAGCAGTGGTGGGAAGCGGAAAGGTGGCAGCAAAGGCGGGAGGCGCGCCCGCCGCTTCCGCCTCCCCCTCCCCCTCCCAGGACTCCTCCCCCTCCGATCGTGTCCCCCGCAGCTCCCTGCGCCTCATGCGCCGCATGCTGCACCACATCGCCCGGGCCATGGCGCCAAGCAGCCAGGCGGGCAGCAGCGGCAGCGGCAGCGGTGCCAATACGGGTGCCGGCAGCAGCAGCCGCGCCGGGAGCGCCGGCAGCCGCGCAGCAGCAGCAGCAGCAGGCGGGCTGCTCCCGGCGCCTCCCCCCTCGCGCTTCACCCCGCCCGAGCACCGCGTGCGGGTGGTGGGGCTGGTGCTGTCGTCACTGCTGCGGGCGGGGCTGCAGCCGGCGCGGGAGGACATGCGGGCCATGCATGCGCTGCTGCAGGCGGCAAGGTGGGATGGGGTGGGGAGGGAGGTGGCACGTGAGCGCCGTGCAGCATGCAGGGGGTACGGCTGCGTGTGGCTGAGCGGTTGCGGGCAGAGTCCAAAACCTGGTACGGGTGCACGCCCCAGCAGGCACCAACCATGGGCACCAACTAACCTGATACCCGCTCCCTCTCCCTCTCCCTCCCTCCCTCTCTCCCCCTCCCCCGCCCCCGCCCCCCCGCAGGCCCGACCTGTTCCTCTCCTCCCCGCTCCAGCTGGCCCGCCTGGCCTCCTGCCTGCCCCCGCTGTCGCTGCGCCCGCCCGCCCCCTGGCTGGAGCACCTGCTCAATGTGGGGCGCAGCAAGATGTACTGCGCGGACGCGGGGCAGCTGGCGGCGCTGGTGTGGACATGCGCGCGAATGAGACACCACCCGGGTAGGGGGGGAGGGGGGCGGGGGCGGGGGGGGGGACAAGCTAACCATACGTTTGAGGGCAAGGCAAAGGGTTGGGGCGGCAAAATCCGGGATAAAAGCACTGGGATCCCAATTCCATGGCCTGATTCATAGGGAGTGGGGAGAGGAGAGGGGGAGTGGAGGTGTACTCACGGAGGGCAACAGAAGAAGAGGGGCAGAGGGGCACCGGTAGGCAGCTGCGGGTTGCATGGCAGCGGGCTTCCTGCCTCAACAAGCAAGGGAGTCCACCGGATCCACCGCCGCATGCCTCCCCGCCCGCCCCTTACCTGCCCATCCACAACCCCCCCTATCACATCCCGCCCCCCCCAGGTGAGCTGTGGCTGCACTGCCTGGCTGACCGGCTGCAGCGCGGGGGCCTGCTGGCCGCCGCCTCCCCGGGGCAGCTCTGCCAGCTGCTGTGGTCGCTGCGGCGACTGGACTTCAGCCCCGACCCCGCCTGGCGGGCGGAGGCGGCGGAGGCGGTGGCGGCGGCAGCGGAGGCGGCGTTAAGAGAGCTGGGGGGAGCGGGTGCGATGGCTGCAGGCGGGGTTGTGGTGGGGGCGGGAGGCGACGGCGAGGAGGAGGAAGAGGAGGATGACGAGGCCTGCGAGTTTGAGGAAGAAGATGAGGAGGAGGCGTATGCGGTTGGTGAGGATGATTATGAGGAGGAGGGGGAGGGGAAGGGTAGGAGCGGGGTAGGAGCGCCTGGAACCTCCGCAGGCGCCGGCAGCAGGGCCAGCGGCGCCGGGGGTGCTGCGGGGGGAGGAGGGGGAGCCAAGGGGCAGCTGCGGCAGCGGCAGCAACGGGGCTGGCGGCGGCGGCGGTTGGGTGTGTTGCCCTCCGACGTGGCCTCACTGCTGCTGTGGGCGGTGCGCACCGGCACGGCACCGGAGCCGGCGAAGATGCAGGTGAGGGGCAAGGGGGAAGGAATTGGGAGGTGGGGGCTGGGAGGTACGGTACCTTGTGAGGGGCGGGCAGGAAGGCGGAGGCGCTTGTAGGAGTTGTAGCGGGGAGGACTAGGGGGCATTGGTCCTGGGCGTGCTGCCATGAGGAAACATGGGGCTTGTGCGCCACCCTGTCACAGCAGCACAGCCTCATGCATGTCGCATGTCGACGACTACCTTATCTCCAGCGCCTGTCGCCTCTCACACCAACCCCCGCCCCCGGCCCCCCACCCGCCTACCGCCTCCTCCCCCCGCCAGTCGCTGCTGGTCCTGCTGCAGCCGCACCTGCGGGTGCTGCGGCGGGCGCACCTGCTGCGGCTGCTGCTGGCGCTGGCGGAGGGGGGCGTGCGGCCGGAGGCGGGCTTCATGCGCCACATGGTGGAGTGCATGGAGGTAGGGGGGGCGTGTGAGCTGGGGAGGGGGGTGTTGGGGGACGGGGCGGAGGGCGGGGCGGGGTGCCTGGGAGGCGCCAGCAAGTGTAGGAGGAGGTAATGGTTGGCAGGGAGGCTGAAACCACCTCACTCCTCACCCCTCCCGTCGGTATGTCCCTGTACCCAATCTGTCCCGTCCAGCTCTCCTCTTCCCACTCTGCCATGCACACGTCCATCGCTCCAATCCTGGCTTCACCACGCAACGTCCCCCGATCCTCCCCGGCCCGCTCCCTGCCCCCCCCCCCAGCCCAAGCTGCCGCTGCTGGGCGCTGAGAACCTGACTCAGCTGCTGCTGGCGCTGCGGGGGCTGGGGTACGTGCCGCCGCAGGACTGGATACTGGCGTACATACAGGTGGGCGGGGGGGGGGCGGGGGAGGGAGAGCTGGGAGGGATACCTTGGTAGAGAGGCAGCGCCTGAGCCTCGCCGTTGGGAGGCCTCTTACCTCCATGTACCACGCCCCCGCCCTCGCGCCTCACTGCACCGCCACCTCCCCCCCCCACCTCCCCCACCACCCCATGCAGGCCTCCCGCGCCCAGCTGCACTACTACGCGCCCGCCCACGTCACCGCCACACTCGAGGTGAGCGGCAGCGAGCGCGTGGGGCGGGGTGAGGTGGTGGGGTGAGGTGGTGGGGGCAAAGTGCGGCACTGCCAGGACAAAGCAGTCGCGTTTCCAGTACGTCCTCGGTAGGCGCCTCATTTACCGCCCCCTCACCGCACCCATGTGGCCCCCCCTCCTGCCCTCCCTCCCGTCCCCTCCCTCCCTTCCCTCCAGGTGTTTTCCAGCTGGCAGCTGCGCCCGCCGCGTCCCTACCTGCGAGCGCTGTTGGCGCTGGCGGACGGGCTGATGACCAAGTACTCACACAAGGGGCTGGCATCGGTAGGAGGAGGGGAGGGAGGGGAGGGAGGTACAGAGAGGAAGGAAGGAGCCCCTTGTGGCATATAGGCTCCACTAGGAACGAGGCAGGGCACGGCAGGAGGGAGGGCGTTTGCCCAGGGCGGGTGTTCAGCCGCTAGGAAGAACGTACTGTGAATACATGGCTAGCCGGCTGGTGCTTCCAGGTATTGAGAGATCTTTCCGTACCCCCTTCCCCCCCTTCCCAGCTGCTCCACTGCCTGGGCTCGCTGGGCGTGCGGCCGCAGCGGCGCTGGCTGGTGCAGGCGCTGAGCCGACTGGCGGAGGCGGCGGAGGCAGCAGCGGGGGGTGGGGGGCAGGGGCAGGGCGGCAGCCGGCTGGAAGGGATCCAGGAGGTGCAGGCGGAGGCGGGTGCCCTCCACTCGCACTCGCACTCGCAGTCGCACTCGCACTCGCAGTCGCGGCGCTCCTCGCAGCGGCAGCAGCGGCGGGCGGTGGCGGCCTGGTCGCTGGTGGTGGCTCTGTGCAGCCTGCGGGGGGTGGTGGAGCTGGAGGGGGCGGGGGAGCGGGAGCGGGAGGGGGAGTGGCAGGGGGGAGCCTCCTGGCAGGGCGGGCGAGAGGAGCAGCGAGGCGGGGTGCGGGTGCCACAGGTGCCACAGGGGCCACAACCCTCAGCACCACCACTACCGGAACAGCATGCAGTTGGGGCGGCTGACTGGTCGGATGCTGCGCTGCACACGGCAGCGGCAGCAAGCAGCAGCCAAGCAGCCGCTCCCTCAACAACACCATCACCGGCTGCTCCTCCTCCGCTTCTGCCGCGGCCGAGCTCCCTGGCTTCCTCCTCCTCCTGCCCGCCCGCCCCCCGCCCCGTGCTGCTGCCGTACGCGCTGTGGTCCCCCGTGAAGCGGCTGAGCGAGGTGCTGGTGGCGCGGGGGCTGCTGGGGGAGCTGAGCGGGAGGCAGCTGGACAGGGTGAGGGAGGAGGGAGAGGGGGAATGAGGAAGGGAACGGGGAAGAGAGGCAGGGAAAGAAAGGGCAGAGGAAAGGTTGTATGGTGGTGGCGGAGGCTTTGCTTCATCAGGGTTCTTGGCCACATGAGGCCCTCATCATGGACCATCACCCAGCAAAAATACCGTAACCATGGAGGGTGTGGTTGCGGGCGCGGGCGCGTTACTGTCAGGGGCTCAGGATGGAATGTGGGGACAACGCGATGGCGCCTCTCGACTTACCTCAGCCGCTGCCCCTGCCCCCATTCCTTCATCCTAACCTCCTGTCCTCCCCCTCCCGCCTTCCCTCCCTCCCAGCTCATTCACGCCCTGGACCGGCTCAACTTCTACCCAGGGCGGGAGTTCCTGGCTGCGCACGCGGCCGCCACTGCGGCGGTGGGCGCGCAGTTGCTGCCGGAGCGCAAGGCGGCGGTGGCGGGCTGCTACGGGCGGCTGGCGGCGCTGGTGCCGGCCATGGCGGAGGAGGCGCGGAGGCAGGCGCTGGCGCGACAGGCGCGGCAGGCGGTGATGCTGGCGGAGGGAGCGGGGGATGCGTGGGAGAAGTGAGAGAGATGGGGAGTGGGCCGAGGAGTGGGAGAGGATAAGGGGGAGGAGAGAGTTTGAACGGAGAAGTGGAAGATGTGTGTGAAGTAGTGTGAGTGGGAGGGGGCCGCGTTTTTTCCCATTTATGCGGTGAAATTTTGAAAGTGGTGGGTGAGCGTTGTTTTCGGCGAGGAGAGCAGAGCTGACTAGCGGTGGTATGACTGAAGAGCTTGATTGGAGTAAGGATCCAAGTTTGAGTACATGTCTTGGTTGCTTGGTTAGTAGGATTGTAGACATATGTTCTCCCAAATGCGCTAGCTCTGTGCTAGAACCTGCGTAGTTCTCAGAGGCTTCCTTTGGTTCAGGCAAGGCTTGCAGTCTGTAGGACCCTCCATAACCGTATTAACTGTTAAACGGTAATAGAAAGACGGCAGCGTATTTGTTGAAAGCGGCTGGCAGAGACATTGCAAGGGAAGAAACGCCATGTCAGCGAATTATTATCTTTTTTGGACCGCAAACAGCATTTGAGGCAAAAGCTTTGCAAACTAAGTGAATCATAGCATGAGCACCTTAAGGCGGCCAGGGCTTCCCGCAAAGCATCGAGGGCCAATCTGCTCGTCCACCCTTATCGTCCAGCTCGTCCATACAGTCATTCTTACGAAATGTCGAACTGCGCCACGCTCGCTTGGTTGAATATATCACTTAAATATATCAGTTATTATATCAGAGGCTGTCGTCATGGGACAAGGGTTGCAGCTCAAGGGGCACCCGCTTGCTTCGCGTTGAGGAAGCATATTGTTGCAAGCTTTATAGGCTTGGTCAACGGTGCACAGAATGGCAGCGATACCAAAATGTACATGTTTCTTTATAATGCTTGTAGCCCTCGGCATTAATGGCTTTGTTATCCTTGGCCGCCGAGGGCAGCCGAATAGTAACGCCAACACACAGCCGGAGGACCCATACAGAGTTATGGCTGGTAAGTAGAGGCATCCTATACAATAACAACCCATTCTTTGGAAATACAATTTCCGGTCCGCGTTAAGGACGGCAGCTTTGCGCTGTGCATTCCTTGCATGGCATGATGCTTGTTGACTTGTCGCGCCTATTCCACGGGGAACTCTTTCCGCGACATAAACGCACTATACTAGCAACTCACATTATCCCAATGCGACTAAAACGTAGAAATTTCTCCGCCTATATAACTGCGTCCCCAATGGTTCCTCACAGACCTGGTCTTGCCGCACGGCTACCCTCTTACGGAGCACTTCGTGGTAACGACTGACGGCTACATCCTGCGACTCTTCCGGCTAGGACCCAAGCCCAGCCAGCACTCCAGCTCCTCCTCGGCAAGCACTCCAGCCATCACCAGCTCCTCACCGGGGCAATCCCAGCAGTCGGGCGAGCAGCCCCCTCACCCGCACCTCCTGCCAGGGGCTGCAGCCACGGCCGACGTGTGTTCCCGTCCCGTCGTCTTCCTGCAGCACCCGCTGATGGGCAGCTCGGTGGACTATGTGGTGCTGGGCCCGGGGCGCAGCCTGGGCTTCATGCTGGTGGATGCGGGTATGTAACAAACACTATTAGCATTTGGCAACCAACAGTTGTAGGAGGGAAATGTAAGGGCGCACCGGTATGCAGCTTGGCAGTGGATTCCATTGCATGACTTCCCACGTGGAAGGCGCCGCACGTGGGTTCGACCTTTGCCCCACCCCAACCCCGTTTCCTCTCCCTCTCTTCCATCCCGGCCCTCCATCCCGGCCCCTCTCCAACACAAGGCTATGACGTGTGGTTGACCAACGTGCGCGGCAACCGCTTCTCCCGCAACCACACGCGGCTGGACCCCGACTCGCCCGCCGACGTGGCCGCCTTCTGGGCCTTCAGCTGGGACCAGCACGTGGCCCTGGACCTGCCCGCGGCGGTTGAGCGTGTGGCGGCACACACCGGCTGCCAGCGCATGATGTTCGTGGGGTACTCGCAGGTGGGCGGGTGGGCAGGGGGTCAGTCGGGTTGAGAGGTGGGTGACGTGCGCCTCACCGTGTGGATGGGTGTATGGGTGTTTTGTTACCGGTACCTCTTCCGTGTTGGTTGGGTTTTAAGCTCGCTTTTGCCAACCCCTCTTTTGCAAAGCCGGCAGCGCAACCCAGACCAACAGCTGCAGCACTATTGCAATACACCGGTAAACAACCTAAATTGTGTGTTTGGTGCGCCCATACCAAACCGTAGATATGGCGGGTTTGATACTTTCCCTCCCCTACCGCACCAACCCACCGGTGCTCCTTCCGCCCACCCGACCCCTACACGCGCCGCCCCTCCTGCCTCCTCCCCCATCCAGGGCACCACCATCGGCCTCGCGGCGCTGGCCACTCAGCCCCGAGTGGCCAGCCGGGTGGCGGCGGCGGTGCTGCTGGCGCCGGTGGCCTTCGTGACGCACATGAACAGCGCGCCCTTCCGACTCATGGCGCTTGTGAGGGTGGAGAAGGTGCGCGGGAGGGGGGCCGCGAATGGCGTTGAGGTGGTGGGGTTTAGGGTGGTGGGAATGGTTGAGATGAGGAAGAAAATCGCGACCTCGGCAAATTGCTAAATGATGTGCAGCAATCAAGCAGCGTGCTTCGTTGCACAGCGCCGTTTGCTTGCTTCTCTTGTAAACTGTCCGCATTCCCGCCTGAACCTGCTGCTACCGTGATCCCAATCATGCCCATCCCTTTCCTGCCCAGCTGTTCAACTGGCTGGGTCTGCACGAGTACGCGGCGCACGTGCCCTGGTTCGCGGACAAGGCGGCTCGCTTCTGCACGCGCTGCCCGCGCCTGTGCGCCGCCTACCTCTTCCTGCTGTGCGGCGCCAACCCGCGCGGCGGCAACCTGGATCCCGGAGTCGTGCCCGCCATCATGCACTACCTGCCCAGTGGAACCAGCGTGCAGAACATGGCGCACTGGGGGCAGGTGGGTGGGTAGCGGAGGAGGAAGCCATGATGGAGGTTGCAAAGCAGTTGGGTAGGCGGGTGGGGTGGTGGGAGGGCAACGAGACCGCTGTTCAGTGTCCGCACACATGTCGGTAGGGGCGGTGGAATGGGCTGCTGGAAGGTTAGTAACAAAGATCTGCGGCGTTGTCGGAGAACGTGGCTTGCATGTGGGGTTTTGCACTGATACCCCGTGGCCGCTATCTCATAACCGCTTGTTTGGTCTGCAAACGCAGTTGGTTCGCTCCGCCAACCGCACCCGGCTGTCATACTACGACTACGGAACTGAGTGCGGCAACGAGACTGCTGCAGGTGCGCTCACCACACCAGCAGGGAGAGAAACACGGTATACTGCACAGCCGCTGGATGCATGCTTCCGGTTCCGCACGCACCACTAGCCCGCTGGATTGATGCCATCACAACCAAGACCAAGCAACACACCCTCAACCACATGTAGATGCCCTTGTCACGATTCCTTGTCATCCTCCAACCGATACAGACACCGCCTCGGAGGGCAGCGCTCCCAAGACCGGCGGGCAGCACGCATGCAACCAGCAGGCGTACCACTCCCCCGGGGTGCCCGAGTACTCACTGGGCGCCGTTGCCACTCCCCTGGCGCTGTTCACGGGCGGCCGCGACAGGCTGGCCGACCCGTGGGACAGCGAGCTGCTTCTGGCGGCGCTGCGGCCCGGCGGCATGGTGCAGCTGCACCATGATGAGCCCGACTACGGCCACCTCGATTTTGGTGGGTAGTGCCTGTGTGTGGATGCGTTACTACAAGTGGCCGCGAGTTGGGGAATCAGGTGTGGTTTCCGATGCGGTGTTCTTGCCGTTATGTAAGCTCCCATGGCTGCTTGGGCAGCTGTCCATAGGTTGTGTCTTGTGTGTGTAAATTGCCACACCACATTGACCCCAACCGGGCCTTGCTGCTGCAGGTGTGGGGCACGACGCGGCGGATCGCATCTACCCCCTCGTACTGGACTTTTTCCGCAAACACACGCCAGCAGCTGTCGTTCTAGCAGCAGGTTCTGGCGATGCTAACCCAGCTGCTGCGGCATGAACGACAATCGTTTGAAGAGCCGTGCAGGATGGCTTGCTGGGGCACATAGAGCCTGCGTCTGGGTCTGGTTGATCACAATTCCACGTGATCTGCAACTAAATGAACATCCAACCTATGTACTGCGTAGCACCGTGAGCTGCTCCCAGGCGGTTGCAGTGTCGGGTTGTGCGGTACCGACGTAATTACCGCGTACCTAAGTGACTATTAATGGCTGTCCAACTTATATATGGACACCATTCGTGACGTACTCACGCTTTTTTGTATACTTCAATGAGTGGTAAGTCAGGATTTATGTATACCGCCTCTTCTTAACACTTGGCTGCGCGCCGATACTGCCCTTTGCGTCCGTCCTTGCTACTGAGATCGCCTTTTCTCCCTCTTGCGCTACTAAATTGATGATAACGTGGGTTTGGTACGTAGCAATGGCATGACGGCTTCACATTTACGGCTCCTGCTGGAATAATGTCATGACGGTGTGTACGTACGGAAGTTCGTTGGTGGTGTGTGAGATACGTACACAGCAGTTGGCGCACCTGATTGAAAGGCCGCCAACATTGAGACTGCTTTCGTTATCTGTGGCTGGCTGCTGACCCCGTGACTACGTTTTAGGACATCAAAAAGCACTGCTTAGCGCGCGTTTACAGCTTTGTACTCTTATATACGTGGGATGGTGGGTAGGAAGCTCGGCTGGCGAGTTGACATGGTACGGCCCACGAGAACGTGAGGCCGGGTGAGAATGGTGTTTGCCAATCCTGCTGTGATAAATTGCAAGACGACCTGGATTAGAGTAGGATCTAGGATGCCAACCACAATGGCGGGCGCTATGAGTGACCCATGGGTCACACTGACCGTCACAGCTCCTAGTGGTCCACAGTACAATGGTTTATGCCATCTCCCTTATTTCGTTCCACTAAGTAAACTTTATGTTCGTATGCTGTTATGGGTTATGTACACCATTAACGGTGACCCCAGGCGTCCGCGTTCAGAGCTGTAACGCCTGTGCAGTCCCCGGTGTAAAGAAATAAATATAAGGACGGGTAACCGATGGCTGCTTATTTACCAGAGGTCTAAGCGATTAGTACTAGTTGCTAGGCTCAGGAACATTCCGAAGAACCTGATTAGGATGTCGCACCACTAGGCCAGATTAGGCTAATAGTTTGCCCAAAAGTTCCTTTCCCAAGCACTGTCCAAGTTATCTCGGCGTAATGCGCCCTCGCGTAATACAAGACGTTTAAAGCCGCACTAAAATCTGATTTGATTTGATCGTCTTTCCTTAGCATTCGCCTCCTTAGCGGAGGCACGAGCTTTTACCTTGGCACCTTGTCAGGCAACGTGACTTCTAATTAATGCCAGCCACTCTTGCAATAAAACCTGCTCTTTTTGGCGCTGACAAGCAAAGCTGCTCCTCCGTTAGCCCTCATTGACGTCATAAACACCGCTGCTGTCGTCAACACCTCAGTCAGATAGCTGCTGGCACGTCCGGCACCTAAGTCACAGCGGATCCCCTCAACTTCCGCCGCACCCGCCCTGTGGTTGGCGTTCGGCTTACCACGTCTTGCAATCCGGCGCAAGCAGTTAGATGAGGCTGGTGCGCAACGGTGCCGCGAGGCCCAAGCTCGGGGCCGTGCTGCTGGCCCTGCTGGGTGCAATGCTGCTGCCAGTTGTGCAGCTGGCAGAAGGTGGGTGTGGGCTGGGGGGGGGGTAGGGTTACATGCGTAGACGTCCGGGTGGGGTTCATACACGGGGTCCATTCAGACTGTAGAGCGTCTCCCTATTTACCTGTGGCGTCACACCTACCGATATTATTCCTTGTCACATACCTCACATTAGAAGACTACGTGAACTTAACGCGTGTATTGTGCCCTCCCCTTCCCTCCTGCTGCCTGCCTGCATGCCTGCCTGGGTGCAGCACGTGCCCCCCCGCCAGCATCGACCCCTTTCTTGGCCCCCTCCCCGATGTCCCGACTGGAGCTGGCCAACGGCACGCTCCTCATCTCCCGCAGCACCTGCAGCCTGGGGCCCGAGCGCGAGGCGTTTGTACGGGCGGTGTTGAAGGCAACGATTGCCGTTCCTGGCAGCAAGGTAGGGCGTAAGGGTGCTGCGCCAGTGTTGCAGCAGGTGGTGATGAGGGAGGGAGGGGAGTGGGGAAGCGCTGCTGGGGTAGGACTACTGCAGCGGCCGAAGTGGCGAGGGACGTTATCAGGGTTAAGGGTCCCTTCAGAAGGCACGCTGGCACTGCTGACCGTTCCGCCGCCCACTGGCCGACGCGCATGTAAGGGCGGGTCTCGTGCGTCTGGCTGGCCGGTTTGTTCCCTCCGCCCACCTTCCATCGTACCCGCCGCCTCCCGGCTGAGTTGCCCAACTTATGTGGTCCCCATCCATGCCCTCCCGCCTTTCTACACACCAGTGCGCGGTTGATGAGGAGTGCAAGGTCAAGTCCCTGCAGGAATTGCAACAGTCTGCAGGAGAGGTAGGGATGGAGGGTAGGGGAAGGGAGGAGGATCAGGGCACATGACACGCTGGAAGCTGCATGCATTTCAGGCGTTGTTTCAGCAGCTGGGAAGCTGGAAAACAAAGGTGCGCAAACACCGCCACGTTGGTTAGTACCAGTACAATGAAGTGCACTGCACTGGCGAGCTTGAGTCGGGGCGCGATCGTTCCATGCAGGCAGGCAGACAGCCGCATTGCCACCCGTTCATCTGGATAAGCGTCTTCCCTGCTTCTTGCTTCACCTCCGCACCCCTCTACCCTGCTTACCCCCCTGCTCTGCTCTGGTTATCAGAACCGCTTCACATTTGTTGCCGGCCCCAGCTCCGTCCTGGCTACCCCACCGGGGTCTTCGTTCACTGGCCTCAACATGGAGCTTGGGGAGGTGCGCGTGGGAGGCAGGGTAGCAGGGTAGCAGGGTGGCAGGATGGCAGGGTGGCAGGGAGGAATGGGGGCTGACCTGCGAGGGAGCCGTACGTCCGGTGCGTGCGCGCGGGAAGTACCGGAACCATTCCCACCCGACTCACAGCAGCTCACAGCGTGACGTTCACACCAGCAGGACTGAAGTGCAACTGCAGTGCGATGCAGCGCGCTTTGACGACTGCCTGCTGCCTTCGTTGTTACCTCCCTGCACCCTGCTCACCTTCTCTTGCGAACGGCCTCTGCACGGTCTCCCTGCCGTGCTCCCTCCCGCCTCCCTCCTATGTGCCCGACCGTGGCGCAGAACACTACTTTGTATTTGGGCAGGGGTGGCAACGTGAGCTTCCAGGGCGGTTCACAGGTGTCTGTGGGAGCCAACAACCGGGTCTACACCGCCAATGCCACCGACCTCTCCTTTGATGACATCTCCACAATCAACTTTACGGATGTGTCTAGCTGGTGTGTGGGCAGGGACTGGTGCGGGGGATCGGGCATGGGCGAGTAAATCGGACCCCTTAGGTAGGGTTGGAGAGGGGCGATAGGGTTTGCCTGCCTGCACCGCAAGGGTGGGTGCAGAGGCACAATGAGTAACGTTTGGTACCATAATTGACTCTTCCTGGCGATTTCTGAGGAGAGGCGTAAGTGGGCCAACGGCCCCTCCTCAACACCCAACCATTGTGGCGCACGGATACATGCAAGAATGGTACGGCCTGCTTCCGTGCATTGCAAGCCCACCCATAGCAGCCGACCAGCAAACCAGCCAGCCAGCCCCAAGGCGGTTCGCTGGGGCCCTGGCGCACCGAGGGGCCATAGTTTGCTGTCGTACGGGCAAATGTCGTACGGGCAAATGTCGTACGGGCAAATGTCGTACGGGCAGATGTCGTACGGGCACAGTACACCGCGTCTATTAAGGATTCTACATATACGTCCTAATAGATTACCAAGCGTGACTCCCTAACCGTGGATTAAAAGGGCCCTACAGCTGACGCGTGCGTGCTAACCTAGCGAATTACTGGGCCCACAGGTCTGTCGTCGGCAATAGCACGGTGTTCCTGTCCCGCGGCAGTGTGGCGGAGTTTCACGATGTCGTACAGTATATTGACAACAGCATCGTAATGCTGGTCGACAGCAGCTACTGGTGAGACTGTGCTTGTTGACCACTTGACACGACTGGATGCCGTATTACCATTATTACCTGGCAACCTGCTAGCATATACATACACTACAAGTTGCAAGAGGAATGCATTACTAGCGGACTGCACCGTGCCAAGATGTGTGGGACCTTGGCCCATGGGTCAGTGGGGTTCTGGGGAGCTCCTAACCATGTGACAACCGCCTCTGTTGCTCGTCCTCCACCCCAACCCCCCACACACACTGCTGCAGGCTTTCATACTCCAACCCCTACCACCCGCCACCCGTTCTGACGGACGGAGCAGCGGCGCCGCTACTTATGTACGACACGTCCACCGTCTTCCTCGCAGGTCATCAGTGGTTCGCATGTATGGAAGTAGCTTTGCCGGCACAGCTAGCTATGTGTTGGCACATTAGAACTGGGTGACATTGTTGGGTGGCTAATAAGAAACCGGTCAGTGGCAAGGGTAGGTTGTGCGACACCCCTTTGGTCTGAATAGTCTCTGCTCCTTCATCAGTTCCTGATACTGGTTGGCGTTAAGGCAACAGAACGGCCGGCCGCACAATCCTCAACCCCTCCTCACACCCCTATTTCTCCCGCCGTGCGTCTCGCCCACTCTTCCTTACTGCTTGCTGCGCGCATCCCTGCCCTCTCTCCTTCCCTCCCGCCACCCAGAGGGTTCTATGTTCCGCATCAGCAACCACTCGCGTGTGCTCTTCACCGACACCTACCTCAACCTGCAGTCGGGCTCCCGGCTGTACCTGCTCAACACCACCCTGGAGTTCTACGGAGGCGGCGTGCGGGTGGGCGACTATGCGGAGATATACCTGGGCTACAACTCCACACTGGCGGTGAGGCGATAAGGGGACCGGGGAAGATGAGAAATGAGAACGTGAAGCACTGGAATCCTGATCCCATGTCCCGAGTCGTGCAGTGAGGGAAGGGACTGGGGAAGGGGGGGTGGATCGGGGAGAGAGCTTGGGTGGGCACTGCGGCGGGGGGGAGGGTAATAACCCAACGGAGCCGGGACCAAAGGGATTATTGACACCCGCAACCACCCCCACCTAAACCCACCCACTCGCCCGCCCCCCCTAGTTCTACTGCGGTGCCAGCCTGAGCGGAAACCTGTTTGTGGGCAACCTGACGAGCGAGGACCCCGCCAACCAGTTCCCCGACCTCGTGGGCAAGCCCCTGCCCGTCAAGCAGGACTACTTCCGGCTGGACGGCTACCCCTACAAGGTGATGGCCCTGACGCGGTGGAACCCGCAATGGGGCCCGCAGCCGGAGGGGGTCCAGGAGAAGCCCTAGATAGGGTAGCGGCGAGAGCTCGTACGGAGTCATAATGCGGTGTTGGTTTCGGAAGAGTGGAGAATGTATGTTGTCAAGGGCGCAACATACCTGGAGGCGTTGTGGGGGGGTAAGATGGCGGTCTGCTCTACGCTCTGGTTGCTCGGCTCGGCGTTCGCTGTAACCCCCGGCTACTGCACCCTACGTTGCACGTGTTGGCACATTGAAGGTCGGTAGAAGGTATACCGGTCTATAAGGGTTCATGTGAGGATGGAGGAGTCAGTTGAGGGGCAGGCCTTGTATGTTTGATACATTGATAGCCCCTATCATACGCCGGTTGCCACGTACACATGATTGTCGGCCCCCGGAACAATTGTAGGCTGTTGTGATACAGCGGGTATACTGGACAGTTGTCAGCAGCGGGCCCGTGCCACGCCACACTCGCGGCCAGTTTGTTGAACACACTGTTGGCGCTCACGTCGTACACACGTGGCGGTCAAACAACCAGCAGGCACGTGCAGACTGCACATGCTGTAAAATCCGTTTGCCAACCCTGTGCCTACCACCCTCGCCTGAGGTTTGTAATCCGTGTAATTAACAATAAACAATAA